AAAGCATTATTCGGTCTATGTTTGAACAGTAAGTTCAACGTAGCCAAAACTTCAAAGTCAAAGCTCGCCAGATCTAATGACTGTATCTTGTAGGAAACGCCACCGACCGCATATTTTCTAACAATATTTCTACGATAATCAAGCCGGCAGATGTAAATAAATAAATATGCTCTTTAATAAGTAAATTGAAAAGACAGCATCTACTCAGACATGTGTATCCATTCAAAATAACGTTTCAGCAATAAATTTTATATATATATATATATATATATATATATATATATATATATATATATATATATATATATATATGGGATAACGATAGTATAATTTTTATATATAAAGAACAGTTTTTGAAGAAAGATGTATGACAAAGTCGAAAAAAAGTTTTCGTGTTACGCCTTTGTCGCTTAGGACGTGGTTTGATGCGACTGCTCATGCGCACGAACGAGAGACGCTGGTAATTGTGAATTTAAATTCTTAATATTGGCTTTGTTTTTTACATTGAGCTCGCTGAATGACATCCTCTTTGGCATTATCCCACGGATTACCAAAACCTTCATTACATTACTATATATATATATATATATATATATATATATATATACATTTAAATATAACCACAAATTAGACGAAAAAAAAATACATACGTATAACATGATGATCACCAACAAGACAACAGAAAATCAAAATTTCAACAGACAAATGTTGTCTACCCGCTTGGATAATTGCTTCTTTAATAGAAATAATAAAAATATACACGTTGGTTTCACAACTACTACATTATCGCGCCGTTTAACATGACATATATATATATATGTGTGTGTGTGTGTGTGTGTGTGTATCTGTGTGTGTGTGTGTTTTTGGGTATATAATCTTGTCGTTTAGTTTGTTTTTTTTTGTTTCCGTCATCTTTGTTATTAAATATCCCACATTGTGATTACAGATGACCTGCCAAGAATGGTCAAAGAATGCAAGAAGCTGGACGCAACTTTACTGTGGATATTGCAAAACACATTCTGAGCCTTTTCGTCTCGGTGAATTATTTTCTCTTTTCATTAAAGCAGCAAATTTTGGACATTTTTTACACACTTTATGTCCATAAAAGTAAACACTTAAAGGTACACAAGAAAAAGAAAATAAAACCTCAATCACAGTACTTTGTCAGTCGTCTTTAGTGTGTGGACACTTATATATATATATATATATATATATATATATATATATATATATATATATATATATATATATATATGTTACATTTTTAGAATAATTCTGAAGATAAGACAATTTGGATAAAAAAGAAACAATTGGAAAATAAATTTCTTAATCTTTGACGAGGCGTTTCGGCAATCCGACTTCATCAAGACATGTCTAAGAGATAAAAGCGAAATGTTTCTTAATTAGATAAAAATTCAAAATATTAAAAAGGGAACGCTTCTTTGTAAGCCTCATTTTGTACATTGGTAACGTTTTTTTATTTGTTTTAGTTTTCCTTGTCGACATATTGTTAAATTTCTCAGAATAATCCTGAAGATAATATAATTTGGATAAAACTAAAACAAATTCTTTTTTCCACTTTGTCATAGTTTTTATTCATAAAATGTATACAATTAGATAGATAGATAGATAGATAGATAGATAGATAGATAGATAGATAACAAAAGACTGTGGTAAATAGATAACAAAAAAAACTGTTGATAGATAGATAGATAGATAGATAGATAGATAGGAACAGATTGAGATAGATAGATAGATAGATAGATAGATAGATAGATAGATAGATAGATAGATATGAAAAGATTGAGGTAGATAGATATGAAAAGATTGAGGTAGATAGATAGATAGATAGATAGATAGATAGATAGATATGAAAAGATTGAGATAGATAGATAGATAGATAGATAGATAGATAGATAGATAGATAGATAAGAAGCATTTGTATTAGATACGAACAGGCTGATAAATTGAATAAAAGTATGGAATAAATTTGAAGAACGAAAAGTAACTGGCGCAAGAAAGTATATGATTAAAAAAAAAACTGGAAAACTCAAAATTCTAATTTCAAATGAAATAAAAATCTAAATAATAGTCGTAAATGTAATTGAGAATTTAAAAAAAAATTATCATTTTAAACTGTCAAAGTTGTGAATACGTATCTACAGCGACAGCCTTTTTCAAATGGCTAAATTATTCTCCTTTCTTCAACTCATCTTCAAGTACAGGGACAGGCATATTTTGAGCAAAATCTTAGTTACGTCTATTTAAAAATTTTCTTAAATAAATTTCGCCAGTTCTTGTTTTGTTTTGAGTTTCATTCCGAAGGAAATTGGTGGTGAGAACGAAAAAGAAAGAGCGAAAAATATAAAAAAAGTATGAATAATAATTAATATTCATAATAATTATAATACAATAATAATAATTAATATTAATAATAATTAATATGGATGAATGAAAACAAGAAAAAAATGAATGAAAAAAAGAAAGAACGAAAAAAAAATTATAATAAATGAGAAAGAAAGTCAAAAAGAAAGAAATTAAAATGAATGAGAAAGAAGAAAAAGGGAAGTATAAAAAAGAAAGTGAAGACATGAAGAAGAACTAAAATAATGAAAAAAAAAGAGAATGGATGAAAAAGAAAGTTAATGTACAGGAGAAAGAAAGAAAGAAAGAAAGAAAGAAAGAAAGAAAGAAAGAAAGAAAGAAAGAAAGAAAGAAAGAAATTAATATGAACTAGAAAGAAATTATAATGAATAAGAAATAAGAAAGAAAGAATTTTGAATGAATGAGAAAGAAAGAAATTAAAATGAATGAGTAAGTGAACATGTGAATAGAAAAGAAAGTGAATATATGAAAAAGAAGGAAAATTATTTTAAAAAGCAAGAGAATGAGAAAGGGAAAGAAAGAAAGAATGAAAAAAGAAAGAAAGGAAAAGAAAGGAATTAGAATGATTTAGAAAGAAAGAAATTATAACGAATGAGAATGAGAAAGAAAGAAAGAAAGAAAGAAAGAAAGAGAGAGAGAGAAATTAGAATGAATGAAAAAGAAAAAAAAGAAAAATAAACCGAACAAAGGAAATGAAAGAAAAAAGACGAAAAAGAAAGAGGGTGGAAAGAAAGAAAGAAAGAAATTGAACAGAAGAAAAAGAAAGAAAATAGATGAAAAAAAGAAAGAAAGAAAAATAAGTCCTGCGAAAAATTAAAAAAAAAATGAAAATGAATCAAAATAGGAAATTGACTAAATAAAAAGAAATGAAGAAAACGAAAAAAAGAAAAAAGAAAAACACTGAAAGAAAAAAAAAGAAAAAAGACAATAAATAAAAACGATAGAAAGAAAGGAAATGAATGATAAATTTAGAACGTAGGAAAGAGAATGAATGGGAAAAGAAAACAAGAAATAAAGAGAATGAATGAAAAAGAAAGAAAAGAAAGACGATAAGAAAGAATGAATATGAACGAAAGATGGCTCCCGCCTTCAGAGTTCAGTTTTCGAACTCATATTAAGGGCTAGGATTTCTAATTCTGATTTCCAAGATAAATACACACCACCACAATGTATAGAACCTCATCTTTCCCCCTGACCTGTATTTAGTATATTTTGCCTTATGTCCTACAAAATGTAGTTAATATCAAATAAGAATCTGATTAATTATTATTATTATTGTTGCTTTTATTTCCTTTGATTTCCGGCGTTTACACATTTCTTTCCAGGTCCCGCCCAGAGACCTAAGGTTAGAAATGGCATCATGACACTTTCCAGTGACAAAAAAAAAATATTTTGCATAGATAAAGCCCTTCGTAAGGTGTGGGCTGTACTTGTGAGAACGATTTTTTTTTGATTTTTTTGAAGCATTGGCTTCCAGGAATCCCTTCAATTAATCTACTGGAATCTTTTCCAACCAATCCTAGGGCTCCAGCTACAACAGGGATTATTGATATTCCCATGTGCTACATTTTTGAGATTTCGATTTCTTCATTATTATTATTATTATTATTATTATCTTTGATTTCTGGCGTTTACACATTTCTTTCCGGGTCCCGCCCAGGGACCTCAAGTTAGAAATGGCATCATGACACTTTCCACTGCCAAAAAAAAAAATTACATAGATAAATCACTTCGTAAAGTGTGGGCTGTACTTGTCAGAACAATTTTTTGTATCTCCTTGAGACATGGACTTCCAGGAATCCCTTCAATTAGTCTACTGCAATCTTTTCCAACCAATCCTAGGGCTCCAACTACAACAGGGACTGTTGATGTTCCCATATGCCACATTTTCGAGATTTCTATTTCAAGGTCCTTCCTTGTATTTTGACAACTTTTTGAATATCTTCAAAGATACATTGCAGTCAGCAGGGATTGCCATATCAATAAGGAGGCACCGTTTTTGTTTGTGGTCTTTAATAACAATATCTGGGCGGTTGGCTTTGATTGTTCTGTCAGTGTGTATTGTCCCATAGAATTGTAACAGGTCCTATCTCCGTAACCGGGTCTGGGTGGGGTTCATACCAATTTCTTTTAGTTTTCGTCCCGTAGAAGTTGCAGATTTTCCAGTGCAGATATTGGCCCACTCTATCATGTCGGGTTTTATATTCAGTGGGTGCCAACACCGTGCAACCTGATACAAGATGATCAATCGTTTCTGGATATTTATCACAGAATCTGCATTTTGGGCTAACACAATATTTTAGTATATGTGCTTGATAATACCTAGTTAAAAAGCATTGGTCCTGTGCAGCAAGGATAAAACCTTTAGTTTCAGCTTTCAACCCTGCACTACGTAGCCACTGATGGATACGGGTTTTGTCTACGTCAGCTTGTTTGGTACGGGCAGAGTATTGGCCATGAAGAGGTTTATCTTGCCATCGCTTCTGTATCTGGTCGGTTGCATTCGTCTTTGCAGTCTTTTTTAAGTATTTTGCAGTTTCAGCCAGTGTATTGTGCTGTAGTTGCATCTCTACGCCCATTTGAAACTCCATTTTGAATTTGTTGGCTTCATTTATAACGGAGTAAAGACGCTTACTACTTTCATGTTTCATGACGCATACCATCATCCAGTCTTCTGTAGTTTCCAAGTATCTTTGGAGGCCAATTGTTGTAGTTTTGTAGGACAGTTCTAGTTGAACTAATCCTCTGCCTCCTTCGGATCTGGGCATATACAGACGATCAACATCAGTTTGCAAGTGAGAGGCTTTCTCGTTTTGGCGTCCATTATTATTATTATTATTATTTTTATTTCTTTGGATTTCTGTCGTATATTTATTTCCTTCCGGGTCCCAACCAGAGACATAAGGTCAGAAACAGCTTCATGACTATTTTTATCATAAAAAAATTAAAAAAACATAAGATCACATACAGTTTACACAGACAAAGCCCTTCGTAAGTTGTGAACTGTACTTGTGAGTACATTTTTGGGGGGTATTTCTTTAAGACATGGGCTACCAGGAATCCCTTCAGTCGTGTACGTTTTGCGTTGTTTTCCTCTGTCGCTCTTGCTTTTACTGTCTTGTGAGTATCAAATTTTCCGAACCTGCTTTCCTCATTACGTGCCCGAGAAATTTCAACTATCTCTTCCTGATGTTAAGTATAACTTTCCTTTTGGTTTCCATTTTCTCTAAAACTTAGTCGTTGCTCACCTGTTCAGTTTATGTTATCCTCAGCATCCTTCAGTAGATTTCAGTCTCTTCAAGTCTCTTCTTCATCTTTAAGAAGATTGTCCAGCATTCGTCGCCATATAGGTAGGATGACATCGCGTCACACTTCAGTACTCTTTTCTTTGTTTCTAAGGAAATTTTTCTGTTTCTTAATACTCTGCTTAGTTTTTGGAAGGCATCTTTGGCTATCCTCATGCGCCTTCGGATTTCAGTATTCCAATTTCCGTCATCTTTTAATACATTCGTCAGTTACCTTACCAAGTATACCAATAATAACTGGTATATTTTGACCTTCTTCAACTCAAAATCGTACAGAATCTTTCTTGTTTCCGACACAAGGACGTTCTTTGGTTTATGGTTTGGCCATTCCGTTTCTCGCTGAAAACCCTACATCTCACACAAAATCGAGCGAAAGATTTTGGCGACGATGATACACTGATGTTCGATAAAACTGACTCACCTTATCCTTTGAATTTAGCTCAACTTTCGTTTCATCGGAGAAGAGAACATTCTTCCAGTCTTCTACGGTGAAATTTTTGTAATAGTGAGCCCATTCAAGTCTCTTGGCTTTGTTGACTTTGCTTATTAGCGGCTTAAACCTTCGTGTACAAGATTTGTAGCCTTGTTCTGACGGACTGTTGAAGAGGCCAGACTAACACCTTGCTCTTCGCTTAGACTGGCTGCAATTTCTTGGCTAGTTATAGTCCTATTCTTCGCAACTTCTCTCTTGATTACCCTGCCAGTTCTATCATCAATCTTTTTCTTTCGTCCCCTTGTTTCCTTCCTTGGAGCAGAAGTGGCATCATTATGTGCCCTAAGCACTCGAGAGACAGTTGATTGCAAGGTTATAGCAATTTCTGCAATTTCTCTTGTAGACTTGCCTGCTTTTGAGAGAGCAATAATAGATGCCTTAAGTGGTTCTGATGCGTGTTTGTACTCTTTCATCTGGTTAGTGACTTGAGTGGCTATTTAAATCTGTTTTTATACTGTATGAGGCTTTCTGGAATATTCTGGAATACTCTCGACTTAATTTAAGCTGTTCTAGAATTCTCTAGAATATTGTTCTGAGTGTATTGTAAAATAGTTTTCAATATTTTGTCAAAAGCTCTTTAAATTTACCAGTTTAATAATTAGAATGCGATATCTGAGTTTTTTCCTGAATTTCATTTATATCCAAAATTATAATTATCAATACAATACCTTAGGGTGAATAAAGTTTTTTCCTAGGTGGTCGGGAAGGGGTCTTTAGATTAGTAAGATTAAAAATTATTTTAACCCCCAAAACAATAGACAAAAAATATTTTTAGTAAAAAAAATAAGGTGAGTCACTTTTATCGAACAGCAATGTATATTCGCCTTTTATACTGATTCAAAGTTAAACTTGGGCAATTACTGACAATGCGTGTTTTAGATTCATCAAATTCCTCCACATTGTTATTATTATTATTGTTTCTTCCTTGGGGTTTTGATATATAAACATTTGCTTCCGGGTCCCAACCAGAATCCTAGGGTCAGAAATGGTTTCATGACATCTTCTACTGATCAGGTAAGATCACACATTGATAAAGCCCTTCGTGTGAGCTGTACTTATGAGTACAATTCTTTATATTACTAAATTACTCTCCATTAAACACCATAGAGATCCTTCCCAGCCCCCCATTAAAATGTCTGATAGTCAACTTCCTGAGAGCAACTCCCTGCGTCTGCTCGGTCTCACGCTGACTGCTGACCTGAGATGGAACAAATACATTGAGTCAATTGCTTCTTCCACTGCGAGGAAAGTTGGCTCTCTGTGCCGCGCCAGGAAATTTTTCTCCCTGGAATCGATACTTCAAATATACAAAACAACCATTTGCCCTTGCATGGAGTATTGCTGCCATATATGAGCTGGAGCACCTTCTGCATACCTCGGAGTTCTTGACAAGATCCAGAGACGGATATGTAATATAATTGGCCATGATCTGGCGTCTCGTCTACAGTCACTCTCTCACAGACGCACCGTCGCCTCCCTCTGTCTTTTGTACAAATACTTTCATGGTAATTGCTCCGATGAGCTGCTTTCACTGGTTCCCAGACTCCATGAATTCAAGCGCCCTACGAGGCTGGCATCCCGCTCCCACCCTTATACTATAGAAATTTTTAAATGTAGCCGTCTCTTCTACTCCAATAGCTTCATGCCTCGCACCTCTTGCCAATGGAACACCCTTCCCAATTACTCTTTCCCTGAAAGCTATAATCTCCAACTATTCAAATGTAATGTCAATCGACACCTCCAGTTACCTTGATCTACCCACTATCCCTCTCCTCGTCCTTTCTTCTATCACTCCCATCTGCTCTCGCTACAAATCTTCTGCAACCCCCTGCATTCTAGTGGCTTCACGCCTTGCTTGGGGCGTAATGCTTAAAAAAAAAAAAAAAATTCTTTAAGACGTGGGTTAACAGGAATCTCTTCAACGTGTCTATAGAAACGTTCTCCAATCAATACGAGGGTTTCACTTACAACTGGAATTGTTGATGTCTTCATGTGCCAAATTTGTGAGATTTCCGCCTCAAGATCCTTGTATTTTGATTTTGATATTTTTTTTTTAAGATCTTCAAAGATACATTCTGCAAGGACTGTTATGTAAATAAGAAAAGCACATTCTGTTCTTGTGGTCTTTCATCACGATGTCCCGGCGATTAGTTTTGATTGTTCTGTCTGTGTGTCTTGTAAAATCCCATAAAAATGTTACAGTTCCTATCTCTGTAACCGGGTCTGGGTGATGTTCATACCAGTTTCTTTCAGTTTCCTTCCAGTAGAAGCTGCAGATTTTCCAGTGCA